ATGGTAAACAAACAAATCCCCGAGTGGATCTTGACAGACAATCAAGCTGAGGCCATCATCTTCCCTAAACCCGCTGACTCATCCCCTTCGTCCGCGCTGATGCCACTAATGCCTAGAAAAATGCCCGTAGGAGATCGCCATTTTCCGTGAGGGAGGAATCCTCGAACTTTACCGCTGGGATGCGATTATGTGTAGGAAGAACGAGGCGATAAGGAGAGAGTGAGAGAGAGAGAGAGAGAGAGAGAGAGAGAGAGAGAGAGAGAGAGAGAGAGAGAGAGAGAGAAAGAGAAGGAAAGAGAGAGAAGGAGAGAGAGAGAGAAGGAGAGAGAGAGAGAGGAGAGAGAGAGAGAAAGAGAAGGAGAGAGAGAGAGAGAGAGAGAGAGAGAGAGAGAGAGAGAGAGAGAGAAGAAGAGAGAGAGAAAGAGAAGGAGAGGGAACGAGAATAAGAATAAACTAATGTTCAGAGTGGACTGGTAATTACCTATACGTTCGCTGAATCTACATCACTAATATTCCTTAGAAAATTATGGAGCTTACAAGGCAATCGTTTGGCTTTAAAGTCGATCGTGTGGTTTTCTTTATTAGATGGAAAATGTCGTCAGAATCCAAGGGTGAGACTCGAACATTGGCTGATATTCAGGGAGAGGACACAATCCCGTCCTCTTGGTCTTCATCTCTCCTTCCCTTTCTTTCTCTTTCGTTCTGCTCTCTCTCTCTTTCTCTCTTTCTTTCGTTTCTTTGTTTTCTCTTTCTCTTCTTTCTTTCTCTCTTTGTCTCTCTCTCTCTCTTTCTTCTATCGTTTCTCTCTCTCTCTGTCTTCTCTTTCTCTCTATTTCTTCTGTCTTCTCTCTCTCTCTATTTCTTCTGTCTTCTCTCTCTCTCTCTCTCTTCTATCTTCTCTCTCTCTCTCTCTCTTTCTTCTGTCTTCTCTCTCTCGCTCTTTCTTCTGTCTTCTCTCTCTCCCTCTTTCTTCTCTCTTTCTCTCTCTTCCGTCTTCTCTCTCTGTCTTTTTTTTCTCTCTTTATTATTTATTTCCGTATTTCTTATCTATTCATATATTCATGTCCCTTATTTTTTATATATATAACTTGTTACTTAAATTCCTCCAGATTTGAGAAAAGTCGTCAGGATAGTAAGTAGGTGTTAAATGACTATTTTCTTAGGAGAATTGTCGTTTTAAGTGAAAAACAGAAATAATTCTAAGGAAAAAGAAAAAGGAATTATTACCTTTGAGCTAAACATGGGCCGTTACACCTTCAGGATAAAAAAAGTAAATATCTTCCGGTAAAAGCAGATATACAGAGAGCTTCATGGTAATAAGTATAAATACACTTTGTCAACCCTTCTCATGTTGAAATACTTTTACTTACTGTAAAATCTGCTCTTTTATTATTGCTAGATCATTAACAGAGTTGCTCTTTCCTCGTTTGTGAAAGACTTGCCTTTATTATCGTTAGAGAATTAACAGATCTGTCCTTTTTTTTATTTTTCTTAATCGGCCGTCCATCGTGACCAGTCGCTGTTGTCGAACCAGCGGTTTAGGACACCTGTCTTTAATCCGTTGAAGGTCCGGTTACTGAACATCTTAGCTCAGCACGAAGATTTTCTCTTTCTTCTTCTTTTTCTTCTTCTTCTTCTTCTTCTTAAGGTGGATTTTCTCGAAATGTTTACGCTTGAAAAATGTCGAAAGGGGAAGTATCCTGAGAGAGAAGTTTAGAGTTTGAAGCATTGTAATGAAAGTCAAGTTATGAAGATTGTTGATTTTTGCAATGAGGGTTTGCCGGCACAGCTAAGACACCATTTTAGATGAGAGTAATTGCTCTTGATGGTTGTATATAAAGACGTAATACTATTAATATTATTTTTAATACGAGGTATAATATCTAAAAAAAATAATGAACACACAGACATCATAATAGTACGCATATAAATCTATTAGAATTATAACGTTCACAAATTCTTCGACGCTATCACGGTTTATTTATCACCGTTCACTTTCACTGTTAACAGCATTTAACGTCCTCAGTGTATATTTCATCCATTACCTCGCAATTTACATATAATATTGACCAGTATCCTTAATCGTCGCCATACTATGCCGGTAGTACAGTGTCTCGGTGAATATCAGCCTACAGATCTAAAAGGACATAAAACAAAACCAAAATACGGTTTCTGACCCTGGTTCCCATCTCCATGTATAAATCAGTGTAAATTATATTTCATAAACCTAATTCCCATTTATACAATATTCAGATAAACAAAGCTTTGAATTGTAATGTATATATGACATACCTTATATTCTAATTACAACTAAATTGTCAGCAGTCGACGTGACACTACCGTCGCCCTCAACTCGTGACTACCACACTCCTTCGTTTAACTATCGTCACGGCCCCCTCTGCTCAATAGACCTTTCCCGCTACACCTTTGCTTAGGCCTAGTACGGCAAATACCCATCCAGCTACACCCTTGCTTAGGCCTAGTACGGCAAATACCCATC